TAAATGAAAATAATGTATAATTTTATATTATATTACTTATATATATATATATTACAGAATGATTGATGAAAATAATTAATTTCTATAACAATACCAAGGAGGAGATGTTGTATATTTATGAATGGATGAAAACATAGATTTGCAGCTCCAACAATTGCGTCCTCGCATATTCCTGACCTAATACAATGATAACCCAGGGCTACAGTATAAAAAGCAGTGCTGCAGGCCGTATCAACTGTATAAGATGGTCCTTTTAGATCCAAGTAATGCGATATCATATTCGCTATTGCAGATTTACTACATCCAATAATATTGAGGCCGCCTACCTAATTATAAAACATCAGCGATTACAAATTCGCACACTTATATTACTTGATAATTATCACATCAATCAATAATTTGTTATACCTGCAGATCTTCATAAAGAAGTTTCTCTTCAGCTTCAAGAACGCACGTTCCCATTATTACAGCAGTATTCTTTCCTCGCAATTGCTTTGGATTGATTCCCGCGTCGATAATTGCTTCATGCGAATGTTCCAATAACATTCTTATCTCAGGTGAAAATACATGTGCTTGCTGGGAAGATATTCCAAAAAAATCCGCATCAAATTTGTTAACATTGTTGACTGTTCCCATATGAGTTGGTAAATCTAGATGTTCTAAGAATGAAAACAGTTTTACATATAATATTATATAAACTTGTTCAGTTTACGCATACATTTTTAATCCATACATCATCAAAGTCAAAATCAGTACATAAAGCTTCTCAAAGATGATTTATAATTTGATTTATAATTTGTATTGTTGGAAACTATGCATTTAGATTTAATTTAATCACTGATTATGCTAGAGACATTTCTAATAAACAATAAAATTATAAACATTTTGTTATTAGTTATTAGTTTTTTAATGCGTATGAATTAATTACCTATTTTCCAACGGTCGTGATCTGCTCGAACAAGATTAATTTTGCTAAATAAATTTTCTCGTAATTGATTCATGTTGTCTGAATCTGGAAATCTCCCAGCAATTCCAGAAATAACAATTTCATCTTCAAATGTATAAGATTGCTGTTTATATGTTCCTTCGTCATTCATGATTGCAATAATTTTCTTAAACAATTTAAAAAAGAGAGTGTTACATACAATTCATATTAATTTAATTTTTATTTATAATCCTATAATCCTACAATATCTCATATACAATAAGATATCTAGGCTAAATAGGATCTAAAGAAAACTCACTTTTAAATTTCTCGTTTCAAAATATATCTTATGCTAAAGTGTAACATGATATATATATATATATATATATAGATATAATATATACTAAGCTCATTATGAAATTCGATTTGAATACAAAGAATGATTAATAT